GTCTTCTTGCCAGTACTGGCCCGATATCGGCCCTGTCTTCTTGCCAGTACTGGCCCGATATCGGCCCTGTCTTCTTGCCAGTACTGGCCCGATATTGGCCCTGTCTTCTTGCCAGTACTGGCCCGATATTGGCCCTGTCTTCTTGCCAGTACTGGCCCGATATTGGCCCTGTCTTCTTGCCAATACTGGCCCAATATGAATGCCGAACACTGGTGAACAAACGGGCCAATATTGGGCTGTTATAAAATACAAAAATGGGACAATACTGGACCAATTGTCAATATCGAGTATCGGCTATAAAGGTTGGGCCATTGTTGGCCTAGTAGTATTACTGGAAGTCTGTCGGCAATTCCTACACGGGTATCTTTGAGATGAAATAAAAACTGAACGGAGATGTGTCTTTTACAAAACTAATTAGTAAATCTAACAGACAGCTGAGAAACAAACAGACATGAGACAGAGATAGATTTATATTTCTCTTTTTTTTTTTTTATAGCAGCAATAAACTGACGTAACCGCGTGAGATTTATTTCTGCGAAATCGCAAACTCGAAAGATTTCAACAATATTTTCTGATGAATATTCGCTTCGTTCAGGAAAGAAAATTAAGTCGAACAAACACCAGGTATATAATGATAAATCTCTCGCTGTTCTTCCGGATTTTTTTATTTAACATTCGTTCTCTTTCACGGTACAAAGCGCAAATGGTTGCGCGCGTCGTCGCGGCCTCTTTCCCTTTGTAAAAAGATTTATTCGCGAGCGAGAGAAGTCGCGCGAGAAAAGGTAAAGAACATCCCGCGGGCACGAGGCACGGAAGAAGTGAAATAAACGCGCGCGCGATACGATTCCACGCGGGGTCCGCGCGCTATCTTCCTAACCGGTCTTGCAAAACGATCGAGTCCCGGCTAATGGGAGATCCGGATACTGGTTCACAGAATGGCGGATGAGGAACGCGCAAAAGAGGTGTACCGACGCTTGGACGATCGCGCGGAACTCTCTAGCGCGCCCGGACTCGACAACAGTCAAAAGACAATATTGTCGATGAGCAAACCACCGCGCGCGGTGTGGTTCCTTGATCGCCGAGAGCGGCAGCAACCTTGAAATCGCGGAACGTTTCAGCGCGCGCGAGAGACACGTCGCGCGAGCGAGCCAGTCGCGCGTGCATGCGATGTTTTATTTGCAAAAGGTGGAAGCGGGTTTCTATTTTTTGCCAAGAAGAATTACGTTGTTCGGCTTGTCGGTCGGATTCCTACAATCACGAGGAATTTTCCTTCGACAGATCGAACTTGCGTAAGATGGAACTTGCCGCTGAGAATTGGAGTTTTATCACCGCGGGAAAGGATTTTTGTGTGAAATTGGAAAGATAGATTTATATTTAAATACGTCTTTGAGAGATAACGTTGCAACGTTAGAAGAGATACAAGAAATCACTCAGAAACGCGAAAACAAAAAACTGATTTTCTATCATTTAACGCGAACTCGAATCTTGCGGTAATAATATTTGTTAGCCGCGGTCATCATTGATAGATCATGATAAACGTCACGTCACATTCGAAGTAGGTGCGCGCTCAGAAAGAAAAGAAGAAAAGAACGAAAGAGGAAAGTCAAACGAGTATCACGACACATACTTACGGGGAGAACAAACGAAATCTCACTATTTCTGCGTCCTAACCAAATAGCGGTCTCAGTTGGCAGGAACCGAACTAGGCATTGTGTGTATGTGAGCGTGACGATAAGACGAAGAACGCGAACGGACACTCTCGACTTTTGAAAAAAATGATCGCATTGATCGTACAGCTCTCTCTATATCTCGTGTCGCAATAAATTTCAAATATCTTTCGGACGAAAAATGCGTGTCAAATATATGTGTATTTAATACACAAAAACTAGCAAAATACATAAATTTGCGCAACTTTTTGAGAACTTTGTGAGAAAATCTTTCACGAGATATAAATTTTTAACTCGTATAGTGAAAGATTTTTTACGAGCATACAACTCGTGATATCAAACGCCCAAATAATCGCGTCTCGAGCTCGGCTTTTACATTTTTTTTTTTTCTAATAAATCTGATGAGATCCTCTTAACGTCTTCCTGACGGAAAGAGACGTTAAAGGGATTAAATTTCTATGATCGCGCATAAACTTCGAAGAGAAAAACTCATATAAGGAAAATTTAAGAAATATATATATATATAAAAGTTTATGCAAAAATATATACCGAGATATATTCGCAACAAGTGTCTGATAAAAAATCCTCGGATTTTTATTAAAAAAATATCGCGGGATCTCTTCCACGTGTTCCGATGTTGTAAAATAAAATATGTTGCAACAAAAAATACATCGCGATGACGCTGAGAGAATATTGGTCGAAAGTTGATTATAAAGTTTATGAATATAATTCGAGGTTACGAGGCTATTAATAATCCGATGACACGCGGTATTGCCCGTCTTCGTCGTGCGTTCCCGTGCACGCGGAATATCTCTCTATCTCCCTTGGGCGCGCTAATAAAGAAAATATGAATAAGAGGAAACAGATCGTGCGTAGTTATGCGCGACAGTAGTTGGCAGGGTGGTGTTACATTTGGCACCTCGGCAGCGTTTTTAAAAGACACGCCGGGGCCCGCTGCCCGTCGGCACGAGGTGGTCCAAACTTTTTCGTGCATAGGAAACGATGTTTATACGCGCGACGAATCTCCATGACGAATCACAATGACAAACACGACACGACGTGCGCGCTCGTCGAGCCGTGCCGCACACGAGTTATTTACACGAAAATTAGTATATCGAGTAATTATGCCGACATTTGTCCTTTGCATTTTGAAAGACCATGGAGAACACAGAGAGAAGAGAAGAGAGAGAGAAAGAGCAACGGTAGCCGAACGGTAAGGCCGGTTTTGCGTGCACACGTGTGTCACCACGATTTCTTTCGGTATTTGTTTCAAAATTCTTACCGTTGACGTTAAATTGACTAAAAAAAAAAAAAAACATTCTCGTTTCTCTTTTCTTTAATTTTAATAAAAACGTGTGTTTTTGTTTTTAATTAAAACAAAATTTGAAAAACAATTTAAATTTGTTAGTAGTTTTTTTTTTTTTTTTTTNCCAAGTAATTTTGTTCTTCCTCGATTAACTCGCGCCGATGCCAATATCTTGCGCGATCTCGCGTCTATCGTCGTCCGAAGACAGAGGATTTTAGGATTCAACATCGGAGTTAATTTGCTCGGCGGCAATTCAGCCGGACGCGCACACATTACGCTAGGCTAGCAGGACATTAAACCCACGTAATCCCGACGTACGGGGGAGGAATAGGGTACTGGTCAAGCCTTTACGGTCTTAACGGCTTCAATTATCAACACCTAATTATACATCGTGATCCTAACACAACATTACTGTTAGGAGAGTCCTTTTGAGCTTACACCCCTCGAACGCGCGCACCCTTTTGCAAATTTGGTCTTTGCACATGGACAGTAGACTTGCTCGTTCGATAATCCACAAACGTATCGCCCGCTGTACGTACGACGCTGCTTCAGATCGGGGGAAGCTGGATTTTCCTTCGATATTCGTGCGCGCGACTACCACGTAGAAGAGTGGCGCAACGTATATAATTACGGATTCTCGTATTAATATTCGAGAGAACAATTAACGAGAGAGGAAATAACGCTTAAGGGATAGAAATATGAAACGTACAAGAAAGCGAGATATTTAAATCCCAATGGGAAGGGGGGGATGTCGCGTCGTCTTCCTTACCTGACATCGAGCCGTCGTTTGGATGTAGATGGTGATTGTTGTTCGTCAGAGAAGCGTTATTATTATTTTCGCTTCCGGGTAAACCGGCCGGTCCGGTGCAGTGTTTCCCGCCCTCGAGAACGTCGTGATCGTGTCGGCAGAAAAGACCGTCCTGCCGCAGAGCGAACTCGTCGCCGGTCTCGAGTCGCCTCAAACAGGCGGTACATCGGAAGCACTCCACGTGATAGATCTTGGTTTTCGCTCTCATCACGTAGTCATTTTTGCTAAAGCACTGGCTGCACTTGTCGCACTTCGTGCCGAAAAGCCTGCAACAACACACGCGCGAGAGAGAAAGAAATCATCAGTTTTTTGTATATTCAGTTTTGTGAATTGCGAAGTGAATTTTTTGAAAAACAAGAGTTTCGTAAAATTGATCGCTCAGAATTAACGTTGCAAATTTCATTATCTCACATTGCACGACAATGTTAAATCGATTCGAGGATTAACGACATTTAAAATTGCCGCTACAAATTTTGCAATTGAAACAGCGCCGTTAATTTCTTGATATAACACTCGCGCGCGCCCCAGATGAGCGATATTAATTTAGATGCCGATTGAGAAAAAGAGAGAGAGAGAGAGAGAGGAGAGAGAGTTTTGCAAGTTTAACTTAACTCTTCCATCACACACACGCACACATAGACGATATTTTCGTGATATTTTTATTGTCTGTTTATCTTCTATTTCCTCACAACGTGAAGTGTTGTAAATATAAATTCGGCGATGAGCAGAAACAAAAAGCTCCCGTTCCATATCCGATAAAATGCAAAACGGACGCGCGCATAAATTGGGTCGAAGTGACTTTTATTGTCACGTCGTACATTTATTTCTGTATACACAATATTACTGAGGGGAGAGGAGGGGACCAATTTTTATATAAATAAATTCAATAAATAACCTGTTCCGTGTGTGTGCGCGTGTGTATGTATTAAAACTGTACGCGGGCATGGAATATAATGAAATATCCAACGTACATCATCCGAAATTGGAAAAGTTCGCTGTTATATTCGCGGTAATATAAGTGAAATTGATGGCGATGTAACGCGGAATTAATAGTTGTCTGTATGTGTGTGTGTGTGTACGTGTGTGTAATTGACGGTCGAATTAACGGGACGTTTCTATCGTTTGCCATTACTTATTTTTCGAAGAGTCGACAAATCTTTTATATACATATCGAGATCTCTTTCGTTACACACGCGCGAATAATTTATTTAACATAATCGGAGCGAACTTTTTCTCTCATTATCGGTTTTTTTTTTTTTTATTATTTTTTTCCCATTTTGTTTGCTATTTGCGATTACTTTTTACGGAACAATTATACATAGCGGCACTTTCGCAAGAGACTCGCGGTAGTTGGTTCTGTTGTAAATAAATAGCTGCTGTGGAACACCCAGAAGAACGTGTGTACACGAGATGAGGGGGAGTGTACGTTGGTAATTTGGACTTTTGAGCGAAAGGCGACAGGAACAACAAACGGCCGTCATCGCTGTCGCTCGAATCCGCGGCCGGATACGCCAGTCTTCCTCGAGTGTGTGGCGGCGACGTTCCGACGTTCGACGGATCAGCGCAAATAAACCCCGCTGCCACGGCGGAGAAAAATATTTGGTCCAGGTCGAATTCGTGACGATGGGTTATTCAACGGCATTAAACGTCGTGTGCGAACGATCGAAAAGAAAAGAGAAAAAAAATCACGGACGCTCACATATTACTCGGACGAAGTCGCGTCTTCTCTTCGCGTCATTTTTTGTTGCAGCAATCTCTAAATTTTTTTCTATTACGCGAAATTTTCACGTAAATGGCCAAACAAATTGCATTTTTTCAATTTCAATTCATCAGCGATGGAAAAACAAAAACAGAAAGAAAAAAGAATCGAAAACCGGCGATGTGATGTGAATTGTAATAAATCAATTACGACGAATGATTTTCGCAGAGAAGAATTAATTAACCGCAATCGTTCGGAATATATTTCTGTCGTCACAGAAGGAAGCGCGCCGCCGTTAAAATCGAACACATCAATAATCGAAAAGAAACGAATCAACCGTTATTGCCCGGTCTAAGAGATTCAATTTTTGAGAATAGAAAATCCCGAGAATAGACGCGCGTTTAGACATCTTATACCGGCGTCTAAAATATCGACTCGCTATTTTAAAAAATTAGCGAACTACATAACTCGCGATGTTACGCAATCGTATATCTCCGCCACGACGATGAATGTCATGTTTATTTCAGTTGTATTTTTTTATTTACGACTAAAATTACATCCGACAATTTTTCCTCGTTCGCGAGAGGCGCGATTATATCTCCGTATATAAAAAATATTAATCCGATATATATATACAATACGCGAACTGCTGATCAACCGCACACTCCAACCGCAAAGTTTAAACGACAACGTCACCCGTCGAAGCCGAAAGAAAGTGTCGATCAATGCGTGCCGCAAATCGCCTCGTCGCGCGCGAGTTTTATACTCGCGAGTTTAAACTCCGCGAATTTTTTGCGTTGAGCTTTTTTTCTTTTGCACACACTCACGCGGGCGCGCACGCAACGCAGAATCGTCGACGGTGTGACGTCGCGATGTGGCAATGCAGTCGTCGGTGCGTATGTACAGTCGGTGTGTGCGCCGCCTCTCTCGACTTCTCGCCCCTCGTCGGATGCACCGCACTCGGATAAAAATACTCCGGACTTTCTCGACCCTGTCGTTTCCCCCCCTCCCCGTGCCTCTCTTTCGCCCCCAATCTGCCTTCTTTCCCGACCTTCTTTTTCTCTCCCTTTTTTGTTTTTTCTTTTTTTTTTTTTTTTTTTCTACTCGCTTCCCAATCCGAGCGTTTGCAAATGCGTATCGGAAAGAGCGTATCGCGTGTCGCCGGGGAATGTAGCGGCCTCACTGACAAGAGGCACGGTTTTGCATTAATTACCATATTGCACCGCGATCGTGCCGGACGTTTCCTCTCCTCTCTTTCCCTCCCTCTCTCTCTCTCTCTCTTTCTTCGTCTCTCTCTTTCAAGTGTCTCTTGTTCCATCTTCTCGCGAGGAATTCGTTCGTTAAGGAGCGACACTCAACCCTTGGACAATGAGACGATATTCGTTTGACGTACTGCGTCATCATCGCGCGTTTTTTTTTTTTTTTTTTTTTTGGCATAACGCGAGATAATTAATTATTCGACTCCGGCGATTGTTGAAGTATAATGTGTTTGACTATTTCGAACCAAAAAAAAGACTTATTTTCTCGTGTTTTAGGGGTGGAAAGTGTATAATAATCTGCGAGAAAAATTCAAATATTTGATCTCCTTTTTTCCCCTGTACATCCGCCGTTAAAGCTATCTTCTCTCTCTCTCCCTCTCTCTCTCTCTCTTTCGCTCTATTTCTCTTTTTCGTGCAATTAGAGTTGAGTCATCTCATAAAGAAGTAAGTTTTCTCGTCCGAGACTTCTCGAGAAAAAAAAAAGTTCTCTCTTACGCGAGGAGGAAAACACATGGACTTAACTCACCTAACGTAATCGCGCTTGCAATATGTCTTGCCGTCTCGTACGAAACACGTGCACTTCTCGTCCAGAAATTGTTGACACTCGGCACATTTCAAACACGCCGCGTGCCACTCCAGATTCGGCGCTACCCTCAGAATCCACTGGTCGTGAATCCGTCCGCCGCACCCAACGCAGAGCGAACTTCTACCTTCTGAAACAGAAAATAATCGAATTGTGAGAGAGATGTAGCGAGTTGCACTTTTCGACAAAGGTTTACGGTTAAAATTTGATTTTTCAAAATACAACGCGTCCATTCATTCTGTGACTATTATACTTTCGCGTGTAATATGGACGTAAATACGTGAAAGAAAATTAAATGTTCGAAATTCGTGTGTTTCCTCACAGACATTCGTTATCGACAGTAACATTAAATGACATTAAATAATACGTTATCTCGAGACACGCCGCGTGCTCGCGGCGAAGTACAAAGGAAAAATTGACGTTACGCGATGTTACGCGCGCGTATCGCGGCAATGTGTTTTCGCGTGATATGTGTGCGAATCGCACGCGATCGAATTGGAAACACACGACCGCGCGCAATGTACTCGCGCGATTGATCGATCTTATCGTCTCCATCGTAACGAGCTTTCGTTAGTTACATTATTAGCCGCGAAAATAACGATTAATAAACATCCATGTCGGCTATATGCCGACAAACGAAAAATATCGATAATATCGCCGATCTATGTGTCATACTGTTGACGCCGCGTTATCGTCGATTTCGCGGATAAAAACTCATCGCGTAATAGAAAAATGTTTCGCATATAGGTAGTTTGCGCTTTCTTTTTTTACAACAAAAATACAGAACGTCACGTAATGCTTTACTAAATGTGGTAAGAAAGTTTTACATCACATTCGTGCGATTAGTTTATTTATGTTCTTTGCAAGGACAAATTATTAATTACATAGAAAATCTTTTCATATTTTGCATGTGTACTGCGCGTGATACCAAAACACGATTAAATTTTAACGTGCAATTAAAACGATCAGTGGGTTTATCGCATTTGAATAAATATCATCAATAAACATGTTTTGCGGAAATTTTGTGTGAATATTTTAACCGTTTGAGTGCCAGAAACGGTTGCGAGAAAATGTGCGAAAAGTTTACATATAAAAGTATTGCGTGAAAAAAGAGTCGCGCTTGTTTACCGTTTAATTATTGAACAAATTAAAACAAGAAAAGAGACATCTCGGTCGGTGAAAATTTTCCGTCGCGATGATATCGCGGCTGTCGTGTAATTTACCGATCAGCTTTATCACGTGCACGGACACATTGAATTCCGGTGTAGCCGGTAGTTGAAAAAACGCACGTCGAAAGCGGAAAGCGCATTGGCGTGCCCGGGATAAAAAAAAAAATCGGATAATAGGAAGCTTTTAAATGTCACGGTCCGTGGCAGAGAGTGAAAAGCCGGGCTCTCGGAAATTATCGTCGAAACGCGGCGTTGATTTCTTGGAGACGCGGTCTCGTCACGCGAGTGCGCTCGTGAGGAGGCGCGTCGAAGAGTATCAGGGGCGTACACGTCTGGGCGGCGCACATCTACGGTCTCGCCACCCGAACTCCGCCCAAAAGTTCCGACGGCAACAACATCGAGTCGGCAGCGCGGCGGCGGCTGCGGCGGCGTCGTCTAACGCGGATTCTGCGCCCTGCACACGTGACGTGACGCTCGACGCGGCGCGGTCGGAAATTCGCGTAGTTTCGGTCCGATGGACGTCGAAGGGTTTTTTTTTGCGCTTGATTCTTAAAACAATTCGGGAATGCCGATATAAAGCGTGTAAAATATTTGTGAGTTTTGTAAAACACTTTCTCACGTGTTTGCAAATTGATTGAAAAATAAGAAAAAGAATTTAATCCGACGAATTTGTTGTATCTTGATGGATATTTTTTTTTCAATTAAGGTCTCTTCGTTGATGAGAATATAGACGTTGATAAAAACACTTGTTTTTAATTTTGCGATAATTGTTTGGTGCAATACTTAGAGAAATTTTTTCTTAGAGCACGCGAAAGGTGGCGACCAAAGAACAAAGCATTGCGCACAAACAGTGTTGCATTATGCGCTTACTTTAATGAGTATTTGGATAACACGTGCTAAGCGTCGTTTATTTTATCAGTCGCATAGCAGCAATATTCTCACCTTCACCTTCGTCGCGCGATGCAAATTACCTGCGTAGTTATAATTTTGTTTGCCTAACCGCGATAAGTGGAATTACGCGTTATATTTATTGCTTCATTAGAGGGAGATAGATGAAACTATTCCATCCCAAAACAGAATTGTCATTTCGTAACTTTCTGCGATCAAATGAATAAACGTATACGTGTGATTCTTTTTTTTGTTTTTCAAAAATCGTTGAAAGTTATGGAATAAATTTTGAGATGTGCAAAGCAATAAAAAAAAAAAGAACATTTATGACAAAGAAAAATCAAAAACCGTTCTTTGTCATTGTGCTCCCAGATTCGCTACTTTAATTGGCGAAAAAAAAAAAGAAAAAAAAAAGAAGAAGTTTCCGATCTCACGCGGAGTAATGTACTTTGGGATCTCGCGCGTGTGTGGACGGAGAAGAATTTTGCGACCACCATGAAAATTCTCGACCGCCGGTGGATAAGGTCAGGGTGGTACGCAAGAAGGAAAAAGGAGCGGCGAAGAAGGAGCGCAGAAGAGATGTAAGAAGGAGACGGGAGTCACACCGAGGCGCGGAGGGCAAGGTCGGCCAGGATCAAAGAGATTCGGACGACGAGAGGAGAGTGTCGGCGGCATCCCATTAGCTCCCAGAGACGACAACCACCTCGTATCTCGAGAGAAGGCTTCGGCCTGGATCACACACTAGCGCGCTTTCAAGCACACAGACACACACACACACACACTTCTCTCTCTCTCTCTCTCTCCGCGCGCGATCGAGCTCGACGATCTTTCTCTCCCGAAATCATCGTAAAGATATTATCGCGTATTTGTCACTATTTCCTTACACGCTTCGCTCGCGTCGTGGGCGCGCGCGAACACGCTGATTTTAATACTATATCGGTATCGAATTACGCGGAACACACCTCGATCGCTCCATCTCGATCCAAAAGAATCCTCCAAGAAACGAAAGTCTCTAATTTTTTTTTGATAGATCGTTTCTGCGGACAAAATTGTCTTTTCTAAATTGTTCCAAATTTAACAAATAAAAAAAAATTGCATATTTGTTGAAAATATTATAATAACCCGCGTGCGGGAATCGCATCTTTCCTCGCTAATGAACTGTTAATTCTTAGTTTACATACTCGTTTTCATCATAGCGGATTATTGACGTAGATTTGCCTTGCGTTATCGTTAATTGAGCGGTAACGAACCAGGCGACAGGTTACAATTGCAATTTGCAATTCCGAAGTCGTACTTAAAAACTTTTCGCGTAATGTGACAGGAATCGTAATTACCGTCCAATTATGGGTGATGGAAATCTTTTTTTTTTTTTTGGTGCACCGAAGCTTTAAATTCCAGTCAATATTGTATATAATCATTTATACGTGGTAAGATTGATTGACATTGGTTTGCTATGCATGTGATCACATATTGAGTTTTGATCCTCTGTGCGTATAAAGTTTTATATATATTTAACATACATGTAATCATCTCTTCTTATCTCTTGCTTATTCTACGAGAGTTTCGTTTATTGATGATGTTCATAAATATCAAGTATGTTGAGAATATTCATGTAAATCACATTTAATTCAAATTCGAATTCGTTCCTTTCGGTTTCGTTCTCACGGATTATCTTCCACTGCGATTTCTCATCTCACCGCGATAGGGCTTTCTTTTCTTTGACTGTTTTTCTTATCTGTGCTTCCGTCGTCTACTTGACACTTGCTGTCGTGTTTCCTATCCTTTTTTCTATTATATACAAGCTGTGAGTCTTGCCAATTCGACATTGCTCGGCGGCTGTGTCGAGAGATCACAAGACGCATCTATTCTAAAAAAAGTAACAAATATATTTGTTTTTTTTGAGATCTCAAACGGATTCATTTCGTAACGAACATATACATTAGAAAACAAAGAGTAGCACAATTTACTCCTAAATACACAAATGGTACGTTAATCATTTTAAGTATTACACAGAATTGATTTATAGTTGTTCAGAGAGAAATATGACGCATATGTCAACGTGTTTTTTCAATGCGAAATATGGAGTGTTTAGAAAAAATTAAAAGTATTAACGCATATAAGTTCTCTCTCTCTCTCTCTCTCACACACGTATGCACACGTTAATCGAATTGTAATATAATTTATTCATAAGAGAAGCGCGCGCGCATATACATATATATGATACATTATATAGAAGCATATACATATAATATATATGATATATAGTTGTCGATAAAGACAAAGAGAAAAAAATGCTGCACATGGTCCCCGTCACGATTGATCGGTGGCAAAACTCGATCTATCGAACACACCGAAAATAGTAATGTTATGCACATCGAGATGTGATCTCTCCCCTACCACCTCCTCTCTCTCTCTCTCTCTCTCTTGTGTGTAGATAAAAAAAAAAAAAATCACGACTTCGAAGCGGCTCGCTACTGACCGAATGTGGGTGGCGGGTCATTCCCTGTCGTTGTAGTCATATATTTTACGACGGCGGCCGACACGATGATATTTCTTATTTTTCACGAAAGAAAGAAATTCAACCGGATGTTGCTAAACATAGTGCCGTCTGAACACATATCTACGCGATTAATCCTCCAACCTTTCGGGATCCGCCTCATCTCGTGCACGAGACAATATCTGTGTTGCATGTCGATTTTGTAAATTTTTGTAACCACATCAGCGAGTATCATCTTTACAGAAATATACATTATTTTTCGAGACTCGCGCAAATTATCCAACAATCGAAAAATTGTCGATATTACGCGCGTCTCCTTTGTATTCTCGAACGGAGTTAGAAGAAAAACATGAAAAAAAAAAAAAAAAGAAAGAAAACGACGCGAAGATTGCTCTATGGAACACGGAAAAGAAAAATGAGAAAAAGAAGAACGTAGGTGGATGTGGCACAGAAATGTAAGAAGTTGAAGGAGAAGAAAACGAAGAAGGGACAAGGGTAGGAGAACGAGAAAAAAGTAACGGCTTGGAGAAACGATAGAAGAGGAAAAAGGAGAGAAGAAGTGGAACAAGGAGGATA